TTTTTTGTTCCTATTGTACAATAATCGTAATAAAATATACGTATAAGTGATAGACGAATTAACCATTAATGTGGCTAATTCATGGTGGATTCGTCAGGATGGACTTAACTGACTTCAAAATCTGACTTCAAAAGCAAATCACTCACGACTACGGGGATAAGCATTTATTTTCATTCATTAAAGACAAGATGCATTTCTATTTGGTCACCACAACAATGTTATTAGGTGTCCGACATAATACCACAGTGCACCTACGTCGAGTTGCAGGCTCGTGCATTATAAGCTGCCTAGTCATGTGGTGTGGTATGGTGCAGACTGCAGCGCGTGGCGGACGCTGACCTTTGAAAACAGGTCTGTCGCAGGCCTGCCAACATACCTAGCCGTCTCTATAGACGGTCGAGGCTAGGCACCGATGACAACGAGATCTCAGATAAGTGGTAATGATGGTCATACCAGTATGCGGTTATTTATCTATTCTTATGGCAGTATTATCATATTATATTCTTTACTAGCTTTTACCCGCGACTTCGTCCGCGTGACTAGAATAAAAATTCTCCATCCCATACAGTACTTGTATACAAAATTTCATAGTTATTGGTTCAGTCATGAAGACGCTATAAGGCAATAAACAAACTCACTTTCACATTTATAATATTGTCAAGAATGGCAATATTTTGTTTATACTTAAATAAATGTAACTATTAATTATATATATAAATGGATAATGTATCATAAATTAACTAGTTTTTACCGGCAACTTTGTTTGTCTTTCTCTATTGCAAATAGTACTTATTCAGATGCCAAATCTCATGACGATCAGTTGAGACGCAAAGTATACATGTATATGTGTTAAGATAAAATATAATCTACCAGTGTACCAAATTAAATTCAAATTCGTTGAATAGTCTTTGGGTGAATGGGTCAACCTATTTTTTTTAATGAATGACAATGAAATGGTAGACCCCGTTCGTGTTAAGGGTATACACCGACTGGGTACTAGTGAGAGATGATAAGTGAGGATGAAAAAACAGGTCAGTTAGCCCATTGTGATGAATACACCTAGAACTCAGCACGATGGTTTCCAGGAGGACCACGTGGAAGTCTACTTGGTTTTGGTATATTGCTAGCAATTGGGCCCTTAGCCTCCATTACTAACAATCCCTTCCCCCTAGTCATTCTAATGAAAGTAATTGTTAAATATATTTTTTATGCAACAGAATGGCAGACAAGCTGAAGGCTTTAAAATTATGTGTTACAATTCTAGGATCATGTGTACATATATGTAAATATTTTAAAATGTATTATTTATATAACAACATGGTATATGAGTAAAGAATGAAGGTATAAAACCATAGTTTCCAGGAATGTAGTATGAGAGGTACCATAAGAGTCGTAGCGAATTCTGTGATATCCAATACACATGACGCTGTTCATGTCTACATACGGCGACGGTTACTATATGTTATTTTTCAAGAAATTGTCCGTTAACTTTTTTCCATCCCATGCTGTATATAAACATATCATCATCACCATCATATCAGCCCTTAACTGTCCACTGCTGAACATAAGCCTCCCCCTTGGGGGATTTCGCCAGTAGCTGCTACGCTTGACAGGCGGATTTGCAAGCGCAGTTAGGCTTTAGAGGCTGTCTCTTAGTCGACTTTTACGACACACATGGGAAAGGAAGGAGTGGTCGGGACCACACGCGACATAAACATATATATACATATATACATATATATATATATATATATATATATATATATATATATATATATATATATTATAATTTCGAACGATCCTATGAAATGAAATATTTATTGATTAATGAAATATTTGCTTTAAAGAGTTCATAAGTTGAACAGGGGTCGCACCTGTTGAAAATCACCTATAATATACATAAATAATGGGATTTTTAAACGTCAGCAAACGACATCTGTTTTAGATTGTAATGCAAATTCTGTCGTGTCAACTGTCACAGTGTTTGTGTAACAACTACCTACTCACCCAGCTACGTACATATGTGGCACTGCATACATACTAATATATATTACATACTAGCGATCCGCCCCGACTCCGCATGAGTAAATAGATAGATAAATTAGTATTTTATATTAGCTTTAATATGCAAATTTTTGATATCTTAAGTTTCATTACATTATTACAATTGTTATAGGGATCTCTAACTTATTCGAAAATAATATTTAGCCTATGTTACCCTCTGGTAATTTATTACCGTCTGATAATTAATTTACCGTGTGGTCCTGGCATAGAATAGGCATCCCCTTCTTTTTCCGTGGATGTCGTAAGAGATGATTAAGGGAACTGTAATAGTTGAGGGCGTTTGCCAACTCAAAGCTAATGCCAAGCGTGGCAACTAGGGATTGTTGGGGGGAAAGCGATTACTAGTAATGAGATATAATAGCCACATTGCTAGTAATATACCCCCCTCACGTCGACCTCCATGCGGTTCCCCTTGGAAATCTTCATGGTTAATTCTTGTCGAATTCATTATGGTGGGCCAACTGACTTGCATCCATTCTCACCGATCATCTTCCACTGGTGCCCCTTACAGCGTATACCATTAGCGCAGGCGGGGTTACTATTTCCACTGGTGCCCCGTCGTTGTATACCGATAGCGCGGGCAAGGTTATCATTCCATTTTCATCCAATAAAAAAAAAACTAGGGATTGGGGTCTAACTGACCCATTGCCAGCAACACACCTTATCAGGTCGATCTCCACGTGGTTCCCCCTGGAAACCATCGTGGTTAAATTTAGTAAAATTCGTCACAATGGGCTAACTGTCCTGCTTTCATCGTCACCTATCATCACTTACTGGTGCCCCGCTAGCGTTCACCAATAGCGCAGGCGGGGTAACCACTCCATTATCATTCAATAAAAAAAAAATCTGGCAAAACTCCCTAATAGAGGGGAAGCCTATGTTCAACAATAAACAATTAATTCCTTAATCTAAGATCGGCGCGTTTAAGTTGTTTTAAAATAAGAATTTACTAGCCAGTATTAATTTTGTCAAACCGAAGTCGCTGGCGTTTTCGAAAAAAGAATATGCACTTGCAATTATAGAAAAATGGGCGCTGAAAGTTTTTATAAGCAGGCAAAATCTAATAAGAGACATGACAACCGTAAAGCTAGACTTATTATATAGGTTGACACGAATGAGACTTACATTCGAACAATACATTTACGAGAAAGCAATACAAATAACTTTTAAATCGTATAACGGCGGAGTTTGACGTCTATCAATTCAAAATTTCTGGAAAAATCAGCCAATTTAATTGCGACAGTTTTTATGAGACCAACACTGAATTAGCTAAACGCTGTCGATAGAAAAGACATTCATTAAAATCGATTTAAAATTAAGTCAAGTTATCGCATGGTATACATATCTACAACTAATAATATAGGTTTCATTCTAGTTTTTAATGGATGATAATGGAATGGTAACACCACCCGCGCTATCGGTATACACCGGCGGGGCACCAGTGAAGGATGATAGGTAAGAATGAAGCAGTTCAGTTAGCCCATCGTGACGAATTCAACAAGAATTGTTCACGATGGTTTCCAGGGGGAACCACATGGAGGTTGACCTAATAAGGCATATTGCTAGCAATGGGGCTGTCAAACTCCATTGCTAACAATTCCTTTTCCCTCTAGGTTTTATTCTAGGCAGATATAGACCTGGGCAGGTACTTTTAAAACTGATAATAATAGAATAGTTTGTAGTCCCGTGTGTGCTAGGTGTATATTGCAGAAATGGGGTTGTTACTCCCCGTTACTAACAAAGAATGGCGTGAATTTACAGGGTACAGAGGAATAACATTTGGAGAGGATTAACATAGTCCTCTGGAATGGCAACGCATGGGGGGTATCACGGGTGAAACAGTATACTCTGTCATGTCCATGGTACTGCTCATGTCTATAGGCGACGGTTACCACTTTCCATTAGGTGGGCCGTCAGCTTGTTTGCCATTCTAAGTTGTATAAAAAAAAGGACCCGATTTATACATTGTGATGTCCATGGTACATGTAAGGTATAGATACATATATATTTTACAATACCTATTTCGGTTAGGGGGAAGGGATTGTTAATAATGGGGAGGATAGTCCCCATTGCTATCAATATACCCTACCAGGTCTGACTAATTAATCGTAAACTTCGTCACAATGGGCTAACTGACCTGCCTTTTCGTCTTCACCTATCATCCCTCACTGGTGCCCCGCCAGTGTATACCGATAGCGAAGGCGGGGTCATCATTCCATTATCATCCATTAAAATAAAATAAAAAATACCTATTTCGGCTTGTAATTTATTAAGTACATATTGCTCAATACGAATAAGGGGAAAGGAATTAGTAAGGGTGTGTAACAGCCCCATCGTTAGCAATATACCTTGTCAGATCGACCTCCACACGGTTCCCCTAAAAACTATCGTGGTTAATTATCATTAAATTAGTTATGATGGGACAATTTTATCCTCACCTGTCCCTCGCTGGTGCCCCGCCAACATATACCAATAACGCAGGCGGGGGGTTATCATTCCATTTTCACACATAAAAAAAATACCTATTTACATATCTGTCTAAGTATCTACATAAGCTTAAACAAGTAAACAAATATTGTTTACTTGTATACCTATTTTTACTTATGAATTAACTACCTGCGTAGGTAAGATAAGATAATATGATAAATAATTTCATTATCAGATAGCGTACGTACCTATTTATTAAATGTATTTCCATTTTCACTACCATAAATACCTAATCTATAATACAATTTGTATCTTTTATAATATTAATTTAATTCCCAGGATTTCTAACGGACAACCGTTATAATCAATTTGAAATAACTCAACAGGTTGCTACAAAGTTTATAAGTAAAATAAGTAGGTAGATAGGCATCAGCAGAAAGTGATCATGCTGATAGTTTCTACCGTTAAGGTTTACCATCAACAAAACACCATAACAGAATGCTACTCACCGTGTAATCCAATGGAAAATCCGGCACGACTAAAGTTCCGTTAAAATACTTGTTTTACTCCCGATTTTGAGTAACAAAATCGTTGATAAACTGAAAACAAACTCACGCAAAAGATAATTACACTATCAGGTTACACTGATCACTGGTTATTCACAATCACTGGCGGCGAAATGGTTAGCATTTCAGTCATAAAACAACTATACGTTATCGTAAAGGGTTATGTCTGATAATGCTGTGGACACATACGACTATAGACAACGGCATATGAAATGATACTAACCACAGAGTACAAATGCAGTCAGTGTTGCCATAGCCTTTTTATAAAAGTAACGTTTATACCGCGAACAGTTACATTTTTAATGCAAATCGTTTTTAATTGTGGATTATAATAAAATAAATCAAATCACAATCGGACAGGAAAAAGTAAAAATATGTAAATAATAAATGATGGGATATGAGTAAGTTTTTTTTTATTAAAATAAATCACTTGTTCCTTGATTACTCAAAGCTGAGTAATCAAGGAACAAGTAATTAACAAGTATTTATACTATTCTTATTGTCATTTATAGAGAGAGAGCATACGAGAATATTTGTTCCGATAGTTCTAACTTATTATTACTGATAACTCTAGATAGTAGAAAACTATATCGTATAAGATAGGCCTGAATTTATAAAATTAGGTAGTAATAACAGATTTAATTACACAAAAACACTGTAAAGCATATATGTATGCGTGTGAGTACATTAATTTATTCCATACAAATTGTAACATACAAGAATGTTATATGATATAAGTGTGGAGTATCTTCAAATAGTCGTTTATATACTATTTTTCGTGTTACACGTACCTTTATGTTAAACATTGGTACCATACTATAATGATGTATGATCAACTCATTCATTCTAATAAAAAAATATGTGCGTTTTAATTTAAAAAAAAAGTTTCAATGTTCTTGAAAGCTACGATTCGACTTAAAATATTACTAGTGTCACGCAGGCTCAAAAGTTACTCAAAATGTAAATAATAATTATCTGGCAACATCGTGTACTTGCTATGATAGTGTGAGCGGGCAGGTAATGCCGTGTGCGACGCGATCTCAAGGTGAAATTATAGATTAAAAACCTATCTAAAATATATTTTCCCTAAAGGGGAAAGGTTCTCAATTAATTTGTATTTTTGTGTATATTTTTCGCGTTATGTACTCGTATGTATGTATATGTTATTACATACATTGCGTCAAGCATTATTAGATTCATGGTGGCAGAGGGTGAGCCTACCCTCATCACTTGGATTTGGTTGGTTTGTTAACGGTGCTTTCCGTTACAAGAGAGTTACACAGATATTTATCACCTTTGATTGTTAACATGATTTTAAACAGACTGTTAATAACAAAACAAAAAAAAAATCTAGAAAAGAATGTCTAAATTGACAGTAAAAAAAAAAATATTCGGTACTCTGACTTATTTAAATACCTATGGGTTTTTACATACGGCCAGTCTGATGGTAAATTTCCATCCCAGTCCAGGAATCTTTACAACTATCAGGTGTGCCACTCCCGCGATGACGATCTTATGGTCTCGCCTGGAAAGCATCGTGTTGAATTCCAGGTGTATTCATCACGATGTGCTGACTGACCTGCCTTTTCATTCTGACCTATCATCCCTCACTGGTGCTCCACCAGTATATACCGTTAGCACAGACAGGGTTACTATACCATTACCATCCATTAAAAAAAAAACAAAAACCCTTTCACGCAATATCTACTGAACTCATTTGAGCGAAATTTAGTAGACGGATAGGCTATATCTTAGCATATTAGCTAATTCATATACTGGTGGACGCGAGCAAAGCCACGTTAGTTAGATATCTTTTGTCGTAATTCAAAAGACCCCTTTTTCATCGGAAGCCATCTAAAGGGATGTTTTTTGTTAACGGCAGGTATTTTGAACAGGTGCCTCGGTCTTACCTCGATACTGTTATAAAACGATCATATGTCATATATCGTTTTACAATGCTACTTCATGTCTTTTTTTTAATTCAAGTATCCAATTACAGCAGCAGTGGAATGTAAAATTGTGTTTAAAAAATTAAAACATAAGTTTTATGTTTTATTACCTCCCTATATGCCAGTCAGCTGTTGTGTGTTTTTTGTACCTACAGTTTTTTATATAACAGATGATATAAGTGAAGGTAGGGTTTTTTTTAATGGGTGATAATGGAATGGTTACCCCACCCGGGCTATCGGTATACACCGGCGGGGCACCAGTGAAGGATGATAGATGAGGATAAAGCAGGTCAGTTAGCCCATCGTGACGAATTCAACAAGAATTGTTAACGATGGTTTCCAGGGGGAACCACATGGAGGTCGACCTGATATGGCATATTGCTAGCAATGTCGAACTCCATTGCTAACAATCCCTTTCCGCCCTTTATGAAGGTAGGGTTAATGTTGTCAGCACAGAGAATAAAGGTTCTTCGTTCATTTTTTTTGTGTGTCCACGGTCCAGCCAATTCTGGGCCGATTTTAATGATTCTTTTTACAATTATTAAGCTTTACTCTAATTCATTTGATAACCATTGAAATAAGGAGCTATCTCTTTTCATTACAATTTAATTACCAAACTAATTATAAGAATAATAGTTTCACGTAATTAATTTCATAATAAATATGGAAATTTTATAATAAGAGAGATTTTATAAATTGAAGTTTAGTTGAAGGAGCAGTGGGTTGGCAACCGCAGTTAGGCTTTGATGATGTTTTAAGAGGGACGCTGCTACTCATTCCTCGACCCTTAAGTTCCCATAGTTGCTTCTAACTACACCCACGGGAAAAGAAGGGGTGGCCCATTCTATGCCGGGACCACACAGCAATAATTTATTATATTGGCTCTAATCTATTATTTCTAGTAAATTAAATTTTTAATAAACATGTTTATTTCGAAATGCATACAAATGAGGTATTTCAAGGTACTAGTGGCATATTATCTTTTAGTCCAAAAAAGCAATTTCCTGTTTAATCTTGGTATCCTTGACTAACCGTTTAGGATGTCTTCAAGTCGTTAGGAACCTCAACACAAATTTGACAGAACTTCGACTTTACTGTTAAAAAAATAAAGTATAAATTAAAAAAATTTATGTGCTTAAATATTTTAAGGTTTTGTTGTTTTGTCGCGGTCAATCATAGCATACCTAATAACATGATAATACGCTTTCCTGTTTTGTAATTCAAAGATAAGTCAAGGTTAAAAAATACCACACACTCTGTGGTAGATACTTACATTTTAGTAAGTTATATGGGATTTTTTTAATAAGCACTTCTTTGATTATTTGATTAGAATAGAATTTAATTACGCTCGTAGATTGACTACTATACTATTATTTTATTTTTTTATACCACTGAGGTGGCAAACAAGCATACGGCCCACCTGATGGTAAGTGGTTACCGTAACCTATATACACCTGCAATACCAGAGGCATTACGCGTGCGTTGCCGACCCTGAAGAAACCTCTTTATCCCCCTTTTGAAGAACCCCATACTGTAGTCTCTTGGGAAAACCTCGGTATTACCACAAGTTCTACAATCTTTCAGAAAATTGACGATTATTCTCCGACCATTATTCAGTCCATGCACGTCTTGCGACACGTTTTTCACTTTTAAACGAGGCATCTTGAGGTAAACTAATAAACAGTTAATTAATAAATTATTAATGGTTAAATTAATAGTAGTTAGTCTTCGAGTGTCGGCAGTCGCATGAACACTTTGATGGTAGCGGAACTAAATAAATTAATTCTAATCAACTAACCAACTTCTTCAAGATAACAATTCCGCAAGATAACACCAAGTTCAGTAAAATACGAGTACTATTTTTACGCAGACCAGTGATTAGTACATAAGCCATTGTAATGTAATAATTTTATTGCCACTACGAATGACAAAGATGATAATGAAAATAAGTTTTTTTTTTATACAACTTAGAATAGCAAACAAGCTGACGGCCCACCTGATGTAAAGTGGTAACCGTCGCCTATAGACATGAGCAGTACCATGGACATAAAAGAGTATACCGTTTCGCCCATGATACCCCCCATGCACGCCCGAATTTATGAATATGAATGCCATTTTCGCCATAGAATGTATTGTGACGCCCATAATATCCGTCTTTTTAATAGATGATTATGGAATGGTAACTCTGTCTGCGCTATCGGTATATGCGGATGGGGCACCAGTGAGAGATGATATAGATGAGGATGAAACTAAGTTAGCGCATTGTGACAAATTCAACAAGAATTAACCACGATGATTTTTAGGTAGAACGGTGTTAAAGTCGAGTCGATCTGATAGGGTATATTGCTAGCAATTGGGCTTTTAGATCGCCATTATTAACAATTCTTTTCCACGCATAATGCTCATTACCATTTCTGAGATGCTATACCTCCATACCCTGTAACTGAATCATAGCTTCTCATCCCTTGAAACAGAGGATTCCAAGAGGAAGACTTTTGTACATGCACGACGAGAATTTTATGAAGATACTGTGTTTGTTATTTCCGATAACTGATTCGACTTCATCAGGGAGTCTTCAAGGGGCGTATAGGACTTTGCGTCACAGCGTCTCGCTTCGCACTGCATACTGCACAGTAAGTTCGTAAAATTCTCGTTGTGTACATATATATACAGCGTTAAATTGACGTAAGTTTTGAAAATAAGAAGTATCCCTTTGGTAAAGTGTTTAGTAAAAGTGAAACACAATGGCCAATGGAGAACGTTCGAATAGTGTAAAGCTTTGGGCTTTACAAGTCGTGTGTTCGTGACCAGAATACGTGTGCCAGCTCATACGCGGGACAATATTGTTCTTACTTCACGGCAGCCGTGACTGTGCCTCTACAGTGTTATGTGAATGTCATCTACATATCTTAATATAAATGTATCATATGTCCATATTAAGAACTAACAGAATTTTTCATCGTACCTTCGATTAAATTGTTTATAATTACTCCTCTCCATCCAAAGGTTGGCTGGAAGAGATCGCTTTTAGCGATAGGGTCGCCCATTGTTTTCTCATTGTGATTATTTCTTGTAATTGTTTATGTCTATAATTTACTATTGTAATCTTTTGGAGGAAATACTAAAGAGTATCTATCTATTTATCTATCTATATTAAAATCCCATGTCACATTGTTGTTTGAATGGTTCGGATTATTACCTGTTGATGATTTTCACCACCATACACTTCGCCATAAACTAAAGTTTCATCCCAACTATC